GCGAGCTCCAGGAACAAAACACACACACGGCAGCGGCCTCAGAGCTCAGCTATTCATTCCCAGGACGTGCCTCATTCCCGGCACAGCTCGGCCGCATATAAAAGCTTTCAGCCCCGGCTCTGTCCTCAGGACTCCGACTCCCTGCTCAGCCCGTCCGTTTCTGCTCGCAGGGTGAGTTGGATTCTCTCAGATTCCTCAGTTTCCCCTTGGAAATAGCATCCAAAAAAAAAAAAAAACCACCAAGGCGTCGGTGTTTTGTTTGTTTTTTCCCAGGCTGTTTATGCCCAAGGGCTTGGTCACCCTCAAAGGATTTGTGAGTCATGGGAGAAGCAGCTCCGAGGGAACTGGGGGGGCTCAGCTTGGAGAAAAAGAGGCTCAGGGGGAATTTCGGGCTCTGCTCAGTCCGACAGCCGCGGGGTCGGGCTCTGCTCCCAGGGAACAGGGACAGGAGGAGAGAAGCTGTGCCAGGGCAGGCTGGGGTTGGACTCGGAGGAATTTCCTGCTGGAAAGGGCGTCAGGGCTTGGCAGGGGCTGCCCAGGGATGTTTGGAATCTCCATCCCTGGAGGTGCCCGAGGAATTCCTGGACGTGGCACTGAGTGCTCTGAGCTGGGCGATGTTGTTCCACCACGGGCTGGACTGGATGACCCTGGAATTCTTTCCCACCTTCAATAACTCCCCCGTTCTGTGATCTCTGCCCCAGGATGCTCCAGCAGAAAGGCGGCACCGACCACGACCTGTGCCAGCACCGCTCGGGCTGCGACCACAAGGGCCAGACATGGCCCAGCTCCGCCGGGCACTGCCACGACACCCCCGAGATCTGCCCCAGCCCCCCCGAGATCTGCCCCAACCCCGGCAGCCTCAGCCACGACACCGAGGGCTCCAGCCAGAGCTGCCACTCCAGCGAGCTGTGCCCGCCCCGGCCCTCCTGCTGCCCAGCCCCGCAGAGCTGTAAGCCCCGGCGGCGGGTGGAGGTGAGCCCGGTGCCCCCCGTGTGCCCCCCGCCCGTGAAGATCCACCGCCGGCCGCTGGAGCAGCACCGCCCGTGCCCGCCGTGCCCGCAGCCCGACTCGTGCGGGAAGCCCCGCAGGCGAGTGGAGCAGTGTCCGGAGCACGATGAGGAGCCCCCGGTGGTCCTGCAGCCCCTGCCGCTGCAGCATCGCTGCCCCTGCATCCAGCGCTGCCCCCGGCCCGTGCCCTGCTGCCCCCGGCCCGTGCCCTGCTGCCCCCGGCCCGCCCAGGTTTCTGCTCGCAGGGTGAGTTGGATTCTCTCAGATTCCTCAGTTTCCCCTTGGAAATAGCATCCAAAAAAAAAAAAAAAACACCAAGGCGTCGGTGTTTTGTTTGTTTTTTCCCAGGCTGTTTATGCCCAAGGGCTTGGTCACCCTCAAAGGATTTGTGAGTCATGGGAGAAGCAGCTCCGAGGGAACTGGGGGGGCTCAGCTTGGAGAAAAAGAGGCTCAGGGGGAATTTCGGGCTCTGCACAAGTCCCTGACAGGCGCGGGGTCGGGCTCTGCTCCCAGGGAACAGGGACAGGAGGAGAGAAGCTGTGCCAGGGCAGGCTGGGGTTGGACTCGGAGGAATTTCCTGCTGGAAAGGGCGTCAGGGCTTGGCAGGGGCTGCCCAGGGATGTTTGGAATCTCCATCCCTGGAGGTGCCCGAGGAATTCCTGGACGTGGCACTGAGTGCTCTGAGCTGGGCGATGTTGTTCCACCACGGGCTGGACTGGATGACCCTGGAATTCTTTCCCACCCTCAATAACTCCCCGGTTCTGTGATCTCTGCCCCAGGATGCTCCAGCAGAAAGGCGGCACCGACCACGACCTGTGCCAGCACCGCTCGGGCTGCGACCACAAGGGCCAGACATGGCCCAGCTCCGCCGGGCACTGCCACGACACCCCCGAGATCTGCCCCAGCCCCCCCGAGATCTGCCCCAACCCCGGCAGCCTCAGCCACGACACCGAGGGCTCCAGCCAGAGCTGCCACTCCAGCGAGCTGTGCCCGCCCCGGCCCTCCTGCTGCCCAGCCCCGCAGAGCTGTAAGCCCCGGCGGCGGGTGGAGGTGAGCCCGGTGCCCCCCGTGTGCCCCCCGCCCGTGAAGATCCACCGCCGGCCGCTGGAGCAGCACCGCCCGTGCCCGCCGTGCCCGCAGCCCGACTCGTGCGGGAAGCCCCGCAGGCGAGTGGAGCAGTGTCCGGAGCACGATGAGGAGCCCCCGGTGGTCCTGCAGCCCCTGCCGCTGCAGCATCGCTGCCCCTGCATCCAGCGCTGCCCCCGGCCCGTGCCCTGCTGCCCCCGGCCCGTGCCCTGCTGCCCCCGGCCCGTGCCCTGCTGCCCCCGGCCCGCCCAGCGCCGCTGCCCACCCGTTGTCCCCCTGCCACCTCACCCCGGCCACCAGCAGCAGAAGCAGGTCACGCTGGTGCCTCTCTGCGTGAAGAACTGAGCCCAGGGACCCCTCCCCGCTCCTGGCTGGGCTGGGGGGATTGGCCCCCGGCCCAAGGGATGCTCCCAGCGCCGCTCTGGGCTCGCCGCTGCTCTTTGCACATCACATTTGGGGATCCCCTGCTTGGCCCCAGCACTGACACTTTAAATTCGGGGTGTCCTCCCCTGCCGGGCTTTGGTTCTCCCTGGGGAGCAGCAGAGGGGGTTCCACCTTCTGAGGACACGGAGGAACCGCCAGGGATCTGCTCTCCGGGGCTCCACCTTCGAGGTTGTTTGGAAGCAGCTCCAGAATTTTCCTTTGCAAGGAAAAAAGGAACCACTGTGAGGGCAGGAGCATCACAGACTCCTGCAGCTTTCTCTCCCCCTCGTGTATTCAAGAATAAAGTTGAAAATTATTTAGCAAACCCTCGGTTCCTCTCTTTTTTGCCCACCGATGTTACAATAAGGTTTTGAAAGCCATTCAAACTCTCCCGAGGAAACTCGTACATTTAAATCGGAGTCAGGGCTCACAGGGGAGGGTTTCAGCTCTGCCCGCAGGGGTTTCTCCAGGCTGGAAGGTGGAAAATCCTCCCCACCGTGCTTTACCCACCCCGGGAGCTCGGGGCGGGCAGATCCGGGCACCAACATCTGCTCTGCGGCCGTGCCAGCACCTTCATCCCCCGAACGGGAGCAGTGCACGGGGAGGGCATCCTCATTTGCATGTTCATTATGATAATGAGCGCGTGGCCCGGCACGGGAGGCGTGGCTGTGCATGCCGGGGATGCCTTTCCGCTCCTGCAGGAAGGTGCAGGCACACGGGTAACCTGCTCCTTCTCCTCACTTTGCCAGAAAAGCCTCCCGCAAAGGGCATGAAAATAAAGAATTTAATTTCTTTGTGTTGCCTGGGCATCGCCCGGGTGTGTCCTCACACAACCACCACGGAGAGCTGGGAAGGAAAAAAAGGAAATTCATCCTCGTTTTCTTCACCACAACAATTTACTTTTCTCGTGTCTAATCCTAGCCAAATAAAAAACCACTTCCCTGTGAAATTTACCTTGGGAGAGCCCTTTTTTTATTAGGGATTTTCTTCCCAACCTTTTCCCAGTTTCCAGCACGGTGACTCAGAGCCCACAGACCAAGGGCCAGCTCAGCCCTCACTTCCTGGTCTGATTTGGTCCAGTTTCTCTCTCAAGCTGCTTTTCACCAGCCCTCCCATCCCAGTTCCCCCATCCCAGTTCCCCCATCCCAGTTCCTCACCCCAATTTGAGGATTTTCCAAGTCCATCCCATTATCCAGGGTTTTAATGAAGGCGTTAAGCAGCAGCAGCACCAGAATCAGCCGCTTTTTCACCCCCACATTTTTCATCCACCCAGTCCAAGCCTCCACCAGTTTAACCCCAAGGCTTCTATGGGAGACTGTGACAAAAACCGCACAGAAGTCGGGGCAGAACCATGGAATTGTAGAATGGTTTGGGTTGGGAGGGACCTCCAAAAACCAGCTGGGGATGAGGGGAGGGGCAAGTCTGGAATGCAGAAATTGAGACGAAACAGAATCATGTAATGGTTTGGGTTGGAAGGGACCTTAGGGATCATCTCACTGCAAATCCCACAGGCAGGGACACCTTCCACCATCCCAGCCCCGTCCAAGCTGGCCTTGGTCACTTCCAGGAATGAGGCAGCCAGAAATTCCCTGGAAAAGCCACGTCAGGCCCTGCCCGCCCTCTCTCCCTCATGCCCAGAGCCAACCCCTTCATCACGGAAACCGACGGGCACAATTTGCTTTTGATGACTCTGAGCTGGCTCTTCCCATCACCTGCTCGTGCTTCACCTGGAAATGCTCCTCACGGGCAGCAGGAGGGGAGGGTCAGAGCGGTGCCATCACCGCTCCTGACTCACAGGTCACCCTGCAGAGGGTGAATAAGTCCTTTATTACCTGGCTCACACAGCCAAAGTGGGGCTTAGGCCGCCTCAGTCTTTTATGTGCCCCGCTGGGTACCAATGTTATAATTAAAAGATGCTTATCAGAAATGGTGAGTCAAGCAGAACATGCCAGGCACCGGGAACAGCATCCAAATGGAGGAGATGTTTTGCCAATAAATAATTTAATCCTCGTTCCTGCTGCGTGTTTCACGTTCAGGGAACACTCAGAGCTCTATAAAAGCCCTCTGCCCCTTGGCCTCTCACATTCTGCTCCCCTGGACAGTGCCTGTCTTCATTTGAGACCTGGTGAGGCTCATCACTTCTTGGATGGGGGTCTGGATTTGGGAGGTCACACCTGGACCTTCAGACCACACTCTGCCATGAAGAAGCTCTTGTGGGACTTGGGGTGGGATTTACAGCAGTGCCACCACATGGCAATGGTGCCTTGTGGTTGGTTTTGCTCTTGGAGGTGAAAAATTGGAAAGGGAAGATCAAAAAGAGGGTTGGGATGCAATTTGGATGCAATCTGACCAGCGCTGGGCAACTGCAGGAATTTCCTCTGGATCCAGGCCTTTAGGATACACCCCAAGGGAAATTAAACGGAACCAGAGGAAATGCTGACACCAACCTGTCTCTTTTCCAGGTTTTTCCCCACAGCCCCGCCATGATTTACTCCTCAGGAAGAGAATCCTTCTTCAACCTGAACTCCACCTGGTACGACCCCTCGGGCTCCTGGCTGGACACGCGGCGCACGCCCTTCCGCTATGGCTACGCCACCTGCTGCTCCTCGGGCTGCCACGGCGAGGGCGTGGAGGGCATGAGGGGCCACGACTACCGCCACTACGGCTACCGGCAGCCCCGCTGCGCCGAGCGCTGCCACGGCTACTCCAGCTCCTCGGGCTCGTGCCACGGCGGGGGGGCCAGCTGCGTCAGGAGACCCACGTACAGCTACGGGGGTTCAGGGGGGTGCCAGGGCTACGGGAGGTCTGTGTGCTCCGAGAGGTGCCAGGGCTCCTCGGGCTCGTGCCACAGAGGGGGTGTCAGCTGTGTCAGGAGGCCCACGTACAGCTATGGGGGTTCAGGGGGGTGCCAGGGCTACGGGAGGTCCGTGTGCTCCGAGAGGTGCCACGGGTCAGTGGCCCAGGGTGGGAAGCCGTGCTGTGGGACGCCCGTGCAGAGCATCCCAGTGCAGAGCTGTCCCCCACCAGTGCAGAGCATCCCAGTGCAGAGCTGTCCCCCCAAAGTGCAGAGCATCCCAGTGCAGACCTGTCCTCCTCCAGTCCAGACCTGTCCCTGTCCCTGTCCCCCCCCAGTCCAGACCTGTCCCCCTCCAGTCCAGGTCTGTCCCTGTCCCCCTCCGGTCCAGCAGGGCTGCGTGCCCGTGACCAAGGGCATCCCCCGCCAGCAGCAGAAGCAGGTCTGCAAAGTGCCAGCCCGGAAGATCAAATAAAGGATGTGAGGAGTGAAGGGAAACAAAGGGAATTGTCCCTGTCCCCCCCTGCCCTGCGTTGTCACCCATCTCTGCTCTGTCCCTCTGCTTGTAACGCGCTCTGAAGTTGTGACCCACTGATGCTGTGAAATTTAAAATGCTCTTCACCTGATTTCCCAGCAGACGTGGAGGCAATAAAAATGCTGGCTCAAACTCCCCTCGCATCCGTGTTTTTATCTCCTCATCCCTCTGAGTGGCTCCTGGTCCTTCTGGTGGCCAGAGCTGGGTTTGCAGCGGGCTCACAGGAGGCTCCGGGTTGGTTCCACCTGGTGGCTCCTCGTTCCCACTCCAGGCAATTTCCTGGTTGGTAAAGTAACAGTTCTCATCACTGAGTGTTTATGCAACGGGATTATTAAATTGTGTAAGAAAAATCCACATTTTATCAGAGACAGAAAAAGCAGAGGGTCTGTTTGGGACCACGAGGCAACGGGTACATCTGGAATGGCACCATAAACCTTCAAAAAAAAGCCCTGGGGAAAAAAGGCGGGAAGAGGTTTTGGGAACGGCTCTGAAAGCCCCCAGATTCCTGGTAGGGTCTGGTTGGGTTGGGAGAGGAATCCCCTGGGAGGATTTCTGGGGCCAAGCAGGGATGTGGAGCTGCTGTGAGTCACGGCACCGCGTGCTCGGAGCTCCTGGCACCTCCCCAGCCCAGGTGAGGGCCTCCATCCCCTCCTGGCGTCAGGATGTGGCACATGGCACCATCAGCCACACCCCAGGGTGGGGATTTCTCCTGCTGGAAAAGAGAAAAAAGCAAAAGCAGGTGCAGGGTGGGGGTTTCAGGGTGGACACTGACACTGACATCACCCCAAACCTCCCTCTCCAACTCTGCAAAGGCAATTCCTTCATAAAACCAACAAACGACTCAAAAAAAGCCATTTTCCACTCCAAGTGGTATCTGTGGATCCAGGGATGCCTCTCCAAGGAACAGGAGCTTTGTAGGGGATACAGAGAGCAGCTGTAGGGTCAGCACAGTCCTGCCCCATACGTGGGCCCAGGTGCCCCTGGGCCCTGCTCAGGTGTTTGTCTCCATCGCTGAGACAAACGATGGAACAGGTTTATCCCAATCATGTAATCAGGGCTGTAATTAATCGTGAATAATGAGTTTCACAAGGATTTCTATTCTCCCAACGTTTGTGAAATATCCCGAGTCGTGTTCGGATTTCTTCATCTATCAGTTACAGTGATTCAGCTCCAATGGGGACCACGGAGTCTCCTGGACTCTGTGTTTTATTTTTATTCAATCCAGGCTGGTTTTAATATCACAGTGGCCTCCAGAGTCCTGCAGGAGATCAGGCCTGAAAGACACTTTTGTCCCCAAAGCAGAGCATTAAAGACGCAGACCCTGATGTTCTGTTCCTACCAGGACGTTTCCCACATCATACGGGGCTTTAAATTCCTTCTCTTTGGGGTGAAATCGTTTAAGTAAAGAAAGGGCTGGCTCGGAAAATCGCAGCACTGCTTTTAGTGATTCTTTGCTGACTTTATTCAGAATTTTTTGTGTTTCTTTGATGTTATGCCCTGTCCAATTATGTTTATTTTTACTACCCACCACCACGGCCTTTTTTGTTCCTTTTTCTTTTATTTCTGGATTTCCTTTACAATTCTACAGTCCCAGCTTCCCACCCTCTAACACCTGCCCCATCTCAGTTCAGGATTTGGGCACAAGGAACAGGTAAATGCCACAATCAAAGGAGACAAAAACCATCCCAAACTCTCCCAGCCCTGCGCCCTGCTGGGCCAGGCGTGCTGGGCAATTAACATTTTTATGGAGTAACTAGAGGGATGTCAGGATATCGATCTGCTCCGTGTGTCAAAACAGCAGAGCAAAAACTCCCAATTAGCCAAGTGCTCGGGGTGCTGAGCAATCAGGTCCCTCCAGTGGGGCCCCAGCTCGTTTCCGGAGGAGAAGCCCAAGCCAGGCTTTAAAAGCCCTCGCTCCGCGTTTCTTCTCAGCGTCGCGGCTCCTCAGCGTCTCCTCTTGAGCTCCTTCTGACCCAGGTGAGTCCAGATCCATCAGATTTTTACTCTCCTAATGCTGTCCAGCTTCTCCCCAGTCCTGAGCTCTTGGGGACTTCTCTTCCACATCCTATCTCCATCTCAGTCCTTCTGCCGAGTAGGAAAATGTAAATATTCCTGGCTCGGGTGGCTGAGGGTTCTGCAGGTCTTGCTCAGGAGTCTGTCCAGCTCTTCTCTTTTCACTTCTCTCTGATGTACAAGACCAAGGTTCGCCCAAAGGGGCCACCATGGGCAGATGTGCAATGATAACTCTTCTCCTGCTCAAGAACCTGGCTTAGAACCATGGACTAATGGAATTATGGAATCATGGAAAGGGTTGGGTTAGAAGAGACCTTAAAATCTGCTCACTGATTTTAGGGACACCCCCCACTGGCACATCCCAGGGTGCTCCAAGTCCCATCCAACGCAGCCTTGTGTCGTAGTTGGGATGGAGACAATACAAAGCAACACTCTCAGTCTTCAGAAGGGTACAAACCATTTTTATTCTAGCACGCATGCTTTCCATACTTTCTTACAAAACTCATAAATTTACACTTATTGGTCTTGAGAGACAAACAAAATGCTCGTTGGAACAGGCAGTTGCAAGTTGCTCTTATTTCTCCTTCTTTCTTTCTCAATTTCTCTGTCAATAACCTTGGTAGGAAATCCTTTCAGGGGTGAACATGGATCCTCTTCTCAAACTTCCCTCTGGCTCACAGAAGTCGCTGTAAAACCTCTCCCACAGCCTTGGACACTTGCAGTGTCCCTGTTCATTGCCTTCGCTCACGGATGAGTTTTCCCAGCAGGTCGCCAACCATGTGCTCCCGCCAGGACAAGGACCAGTGCCACCAGCAGGAACGCTCCTGCTGCCACAGTGGCGGATCTGGTTGCCACGGGAGCAGTGGCGGATCTGGCTGCCACGGGAGCAGTGGATCCGGTTGCCACAGGAGCAGCGGATCTGGCTGCCACGGCAGCAGTGGCGGATCTGGTTGCCATGGGAGCAGTGGCGGATCCAGTTGCCAAAGGAGCAGTGGCGGATCTGGCTGCCACGGGAGCAGTGGTGGATCTGGTTGCCACAGGAGCAGCGGATCTGGTTGCCACAGTAGCAGCGGATCTGGTTGCCATGGGAGCAGTGGCGGATCTGGCTGCCACGGGAGCAGTGGATCCGGTTGCCACAGGAGCAGCGGATCTGGCTGCCACGGGAGCAGTGGTGGATCTGGTTGCCACAGGAGCAGCGGATCTGGTTGCCATGTGACCAGTGGATCGGGCTGCCATGGGAGCAGCGGCTCTGGTTGCCACGGGAGCAGTGGGGGATCCTGCCAGCAGGAGTGCCAGCAGCAAATCTACCAAGTGTCCTCAAATATGAAGTGATCACCCCACCAGCAGCAGGTGATCCACAGGAATGCCCTGGATCCTGTGCCATGTTCCGAAAGCTTTGCATGTGCCCAGCAATTTCCAAGGACAATGTGTCCTTCCCTCCCCTGGTGTGTCCTGTAACCTGCCCTGAGCTTCTCTGTGGGTACTGAAATAAATGCTTTGTTCAGCTGGCACAGTTGTGTCTGGATCAGTCTGTGACTTCATTTGAGCCACCACAATCCATAATTTCTGAGAGATTTAAGTCCTATAGACAAAGAACACCTTTTTTTTGCCATTTGGCTCCAAAACACTGCCCCTGGGGGAGGTACCTCCACATGCTGGTGGCAAACCCCCAGCCAGCCTTTCTAGAAATGCTGTCCCCAGCCCTGCCAGAGCTCTGGGTCCTGCCAGGGGCGTTGCTCCATTGTTACACAACGGGCTGCTAAATTTCTTCTCAGCTTGTAATTAAAACGAATTGGGTAATTTATTGCTCTGGTATTGCCATTCATGAAATGGATGTTACCGTGATAAGATTGTTCTCGAGTGCGTCAGGAGGATCAGAAATTTCTGGCATTGCTGAAAAGGGTGCAGGTAGCAGCTCACTCCCTGTTTTCGGAGCAGGGATGGCCCGGGAATGCTCCTTGTCCAAGTCTGGCATTTGCCTTGAGCCCCCCATCTCAAAACCTATTTCCAAGGCACATCAAGGCAGCCAACCACAAAATGTAGAAGTGCCCATTGTTAATAAACTCAGAGCAATTAAAACATGAGGAAATGAACACAGGGAGATGCCAAGAGCCAAAAATTCCTTTGAGTGTTTTTTTTTTTTTTTTTCCCAGAGGTCATTGACCACATTTCTGCTGAGGCCAGAACAAAACCCAACTGAAGAGCAGCGACCAAACCCAGGCACAGTTTGTCCTGACACTGTTCTAGATCATGGCAGAAGTTTAGCAACAAAAAAGAAGCTTCAGGTTGCTCACCTGGTTACTTCACCTGCCCTGTCCTCCCACCTTTCCCAAAATTCTCCGTTTTGGGTACCAGCAAATGTAGATGGGGTTTGGATGGCAGGAATCACTCAGTCTCCATCTCCGTAAAATCAACATGGACAAAGACAAATCAAATATTTTCCACCCAGGGTTTTCCAAGCTCTTTCACACCAACAAAGCCACAGCAGCTCCCAGATGGGAAAATCCGGATTTCAGCCTTTTTTTGCTTCCAGTTCAATGATTGCAATGTCTTCCATAAGCAGTGACAGAAAGAGCCAAACAAGTTCCATGGTCCTAAAGAATTCCCAGCCCACGCAGCAGAAAGGTACAGGGAGTATCCCAAATTATTGCTTCTCATGAGCTCTCTGTGTGGGGCTGTGCATCTGGGATTTGCCGGCCAATTAGGACCTAATTGAGGATCAGGGAAAATGTAAAAAGGGTGTTCCTGCAGCTCTGGAGAAAGTCCCGGGGGTCTGCCAGTTGCCCACAACTGTGTGTGGCCGAGGGCTCCCGTGGGATTCCTCTTCCTCCTTCTCCTCCTCCTCCAGCAGTACCGGGGCCGCTCACCTGGAATAAAACCATGGCACGGCTGCTCCAGAATTGTTCCTAGGCTGAGACTCAACCACATAATTAAGCACCTTGCTAATCCTGGATCACTACCCAGGGCAGGGCTTATTCCTTCCAAAAATAAGAATTCCAGCTGCCTGTGGAATTCTTGGCAGGAAACCTTGGAGTTTCCTCATCGCGCCACCATGTTTTGGCGAGTTCTAAGAGGAACGAGTCAACGATGATTCTCAAAATCTCTGAGGTTGGAAAAGCCCCCCAAGGCCATTGAGTCCAAGCTGTGCCAAATCCCCACCTTGTCCCCAGCCCAGAGGGTCACAGCCAGGCCTTCCTTGGACACCTCGAGGGATGGTGACTCCAAACCCCTTCCAAGGCCTGACTGCCCTTTCCAGGAAAAAAATTCCTCCTGATTCCCACCTGAGCCTCCTCTCAGGGAGTTGTGCAGAGCCAGAAATTCCCCATGAGCCCCCTTTTCCCCAGGCTGGGCCCCCCCAGTTCCCTCAGGAGTTCTCCAGCCCCTTGCCCAGTTTTGTTCCCTTCTCTGGACCCACTCCAGCCCCTTTTGCCATGCGGGCCCAGAACTGGACACAGCGCTGGACATTCCCCTCACCATGCCCAGCACAGAGGGAATTCCTGCTAAAGAAGAGTTTTCTCCTTTCCCAAAGCTGTTTTTGGCACTTCGGGGCCCATCTAAGTTTTTAGGGGAGTTGCAGGCCCAGAGAACCTCAGGACATTCTGGAGGGATGTTGTGGTTTGGGGATGAGACATCATTTCCCCCTGAACCCAAAGCACTCCCAGGGTGTGATCAACACCAAACCTGACCTGGGGAAACCGGGGCCACCCACACGGCTCCCCCAGCCCAGCCCCGTGCAGGCAGAGCTGGCAATTAAAGTTCTGTGGACAGGAAAGGCGACCTATAAGGAGAGGCAATCCCAGCGTGGATCAGGTGAGTCACCCCAGGAGCCCGAGAAATGGGGAGGCAAAAAAATAAAAAAAAAAGCCACCGGCAAATTAAATGAACGGGACAGGGAGGGGCTTCTGCAGGTGGGGTGTGCGGAGAGGATATAAAAGTGCAGCTGTCCCCAAAAGCCTCATTACCCTCATCCTTCCTCATCTCTTCCTGCACGAGCAGCTCAGGTAAGAGCTGGGGGGCTCCAGAACCCTTGGAGGGGTGAGTTTGGATCTCCACACCTGGAACGGGGCTGGGAATTCTTCTGGGGTGGGTGAGAAGAGAGCCCAGGGCTCCAGAGGGAGCAGAGGTGGGGATGTGGAGGGAGGGTCTGGGGTGTTTGCTCTGGTTTTGGAAAGCCAGGCATGGCCTGGGTGTCCCCAATGCCTTTGGTGGGACAATGCCGGGGGGAAAAAGATCCAGAGCAAGCTTCAAAAAGAAATATGGGATCTGGCTGAGACTGGGAAAGGAACACCCGGATTCCTCTTGCCTGGAAGGGCAGGAGGAAGGAAAGAAGGAAGGAAAAGCCGGTGCCAGCTGCCGTGTCCCCACAGGTGACCCAGCACAGCGCCATGTGCTCCCGCCAGGAGAAGGACCAGTGCCACCGGCAGCAGCGCCAGAGCAGCGGTGGCTGCCACAGCTCCAGTGGGGGCGGCTGCCACAGCTCAGGGGGTGGCGGCTGTCACAGCTCCGGTGGCAGCTCTGGGGGCTGCCACAGCTCCGGTGGTGGTGGCTGCCACAGCTCTGGTGGTGGCGGCTGTCACAGCTCGGGCGGTGGTGGCTGTCACAGCTCCGGTGGCTCCGGCTGCCACGGGAAGCCGCAGATGCAGGTCCAGCAGCAGCAGCAGCAGCAGGTGCCGCAGATGCCCCAGCAGAAGATGAAGTGACAGCGTGGCCCTCGCCTTGTCACAGCTCCGGCAGTGAAGGCCACACGGGGACCGGCTCCCTGTCACCTCCCCGGGGCTCTCGAAGCCACCCCGGTGCCCTCTGGAGCCTGGCAAGGGCTGGGCTGCGCCCAATAAAGAGTCACATTCCCTAAATCCCTCTGGCGTTGGTGTTTCCTTAAACTCCAGAGCCTGCGAGGCTGCTCAGGATGGGGTTTTGGGGCTGGGACGTTCTCCAGAGCCAGGGAGGCTGCCCAGGATGGGATTTTGGGGCTGGGATGTTCTCCAGAGCTAGGGACAAAGCCCAGAGAGGGGTTTTAGTGCTGGGATGTTCTCCAGAGCCAGGACATAGCCCAGGATGGGATTTTGGGTCTGAGATGTTCTCCAGAGCTAGGGACAAAGCCCAGAGAGGGGTTTTAGTGCTGGGATGTTCTCCAGAGCCAGGACATAGCCCAGGAGGGAGTTTTGGGGCTGGGATGTTATCCAGAGCCAGGAAGGCTGCCCAGGATGGAGTTTTGGGGCTGGGATCTCCTGGAGAAGAAAAAAACACTTTCCCCTCTTTTTTAGCGGGATCATTCCTGGCTTTATCTGGTGCCAGCTCCACAGCAGGGATTAAGCTCTGGGAGCAGGAGAAGAGGCTATAATTAAACCTGGGCTTAATTTCACCAAGCACAAGCAGAGGAACCTTTGGAAAAGCAGTACCCAGGCATTTTCCTACTGCAGGCAGGTGAAGCTGGCAATTGGCACAGGAAGGAGATAAAAACAGAGTGATAAAATCAGAGGGATAAAAATGGAGCGATATCCATCAAAATGAGTCAGGGAGCTGTAAACACAGGGCAGCCAGTCAGGAATCAAGGCTGGAGTGACAGATCAATGACACCGAGCTGTCTCATTTCCGGGAAAAAGGAGGGACACCCCCACAGGCTGCTCCCACCCTGGATCCTCATTCCCTGCTCTCACACTCAGGTAACTCCGGCAGCACAGGCGGATTTTCCTCCTTTGGGGAATCACTTCGCAGAGCTGGGATGGGGTTGGGGCTGGGATCTCATGGGGTTTGGGATGCAGGGAGGGAGGTCAGGACCCGTCAGGACCAGCAGATGGATTCCTCCATTGTGGAATTACTCCAGATCCCGGGAAGGAGCTCTGCGATCCTGCACAGCAGCGCTGAGGGATGGGGGAGTCAGGTTAGAGTGGGGCAAGGACCCAGGGACAACTGGGACCATGGGGGTGGTGGCACTCCAGCAGCCCCTGCCAGCTGCTGTGTCCCCACAGGTCACCCAGCACCCCCGGCAGCAAAGGCCAGGTGGGGACCGGCTCCCTGTCATCTCCCCGGGGTCCCAAAACCTCCCCGGAGGTCCAAAAACCTCCCCGGTGCCCTCTGGAGGGATCCTGCACAGCAGCACTGAGGGGCAGGGGAGGGTTAGAGTGGGGCAGGGACCCAGGGACAACTGGGACCATGGGGGTGGTGGCACTCCAGCAGCCCCTGCCAGCTGCTGTGTCCCCACAGGTCACCCAGCACCCCCGGCAGCAAAGGCCAGGTGGGGACCGGCTCCCTGTCATCTCCCCGGGGTCCCAAAACCTCCCCGGAGGTCCAAAAACCTCCCCGGTGCCCTCTGGAGCCCAGCAAGGGCTGGGCTGTGCCCTGGCCCCTTGAGGTGCCCAATAAAGAGTCGCATTCCCTAAATCCCTCTGGGGTTGTTGTTTCCCTAAACTCAGAGTCACGGGATGGAGGAGGTTGGAAAAGACCTCTGAGATGGCTGATTCCAAACTTCTCATCCGCGTTTTCCACACCGCTGGAAGGGTCCAGGCGGATTAATGCAGGGTTTGTGCCAGAGCTGGGATCCCCCTGAACCCTCAGAATGCTCTGGTGGCTGTGGATCATCCTTGGGGGATCATTCCTGGGGGATCATTCCCGGGGGAATCACCCCTCAGTGATCATCCCTCGGTGATCATTCCCGGGGGAATCACCCCTGTGGGATCATTTCTGGGGGAATCATTCCTGAGGGATCCTCCCTGTGGGATCCCAATCTTGCAGAAATCCCAAAAACCTCTCCCCATCCCCAGCGTGTCCTCCTGGACCCCACAGCCCCCTGACCCCCAGGGCTTCCCAACCCTCTCCCCATCCCTCAGAGCTTCCCACCACACCCTCCTGTCTCGGGAGGCTCCTAAAATCCAGGCAGGCATGAGGTTGGACAGTTTTTATTGGGTTTTTGTGGTGTTACAACCGTTTATGTGAGAAAGGGAAAAATAAGCTGGGAAAAAAACTCCTTTGGGATATTTACAGTGCAGAAAGATCTCCCTGAAAACCACAACGAGCCCCTCAGCCAGAGCTGAAGGATTGGTTGCAGCTGAGGTGCATTTGTGGTGTGTTCACCCGCCCAAAAACCCATGGGAATTTTGCTGTTGACTCCAAATGAGCTGGACATGAGCTCCCGATGATGAACTTTTTATTTTCCCCCAGGAACTCTGGGTTCATTATTGCTGTATGGGCTGACTCAAATAATTACCCTGCTCATCCCAGCCCTATTAACCAGGGATTTTTTTTCACTTTCTCCCCATTAATAACTGGGATGAAGGGGCTGAGATTTCAGCAGGGATGAGATTTTTGCTTTTTATGAGAAAAAAAAAAAGAGAAAACTTTCCCCCAACCACCCCCCCAAACCTTTAAAGTTGCATTTTTAAAGCACCCCAAGGAGACACCGCTGGAGCGTCGGGACTGAAGGAGACCTGGGGATATTTTTGCCTCATGGAGGTAAATTGGTGGAGCTGGGCATGGTCCTCACTCGTCCCAGGATGTGCCTGGCCTGGAAGGAGGAGCAGGGAAAGCCTGCAAGGAGATCCCAGCAGCGGAGCAATCCAGGGATCCTACGGAAAGGGAGGAAAACCCACGGGGGGTTCGCCCACAAAACCTGGCAGGACTCGAGTCCCTCCCTCCAGCCCACTCTGCTTGGCACTGATTGGTGCCCAATTACTGCTCAGGTTTAATTAGAGCTGATTAAACGCCCTGCAGAGCCCAGCTCCTGCTCCATCCCACCCTCCCCGCTGGGCTGGGCTCGCCGGGGTGATCCTCGTCACCTCGGGGTGACACCGGGCACAGGGACGGCTCTGTCCCCTCCCCAGGAGGTGCCCCAGGGGTGACAGCTCCCTGCTGTCCCTTACCTGCTCCCTCCAGGTGCCAGAGCAGCAGGGAGCCCTCAGTAGATGCAGGATTTGGCCGGAGCCCTCTCCTTGTTCATGGGCTCCGTGTCGGGCTCCGAGGGCCGGGGGATGGCTCTGTACTTGCTGCTCGGGGACCTCTGAGGGGGGACACGACCCCGTCAGCCCCTCCCGAGGTGGGGAAGGGTCGGGACCCCCCCAGCCCGAGCAGCAGGCGGTGCTGGAGGATGCCCAAAGCCGGTGCCAGGGCTGCAGAGCCTGGGCACAGCTGGAGCTGCCCCTGCGGGAAAAGGGGAGGGGGCTCCGCAGGAAAAACCCCAAGAGTAGAGAGACCCCAGCCCAGCCCGGGATGTGGGGGGGCTGCTGCAGACCCCCAACACCCCCCAGCCAGCCCAAAATACCCCAGAGGGCAGAGGGGGTGTGGTGACTGCAGGAACGACCTCCCCCGGTGGCTGCAGTGTCCCCAGGGCAGGACGTGCTCCCATCCCAAATTTTGGGTGCCCATCCTACCTCTGTCACCCCGACCCCATTCCCTGTGTCCTATCCCTGCAGTTCCTGAGGAAAAGTCCCTCTCCAGCTTCCCTGGAGCCCCTGCAGCTCCCGGAGGGGCTCTGGGGTCTCAACATTCCCAACATTCCCACCTGGATCCATCTGGGAGGGGCTCCAGTCCCTTTATCAACTTCGTGGTCTGCTCTGGACTTGCTCCAACAATTCCACATCCCTTTCCCACCCTCTTTTCCCCCTCCAGCCCCTGCTCTTACCTTGACAGGAACAAATTCCTGCTGGATCAGCTTCTTGAACTCGCTCCTGCTGAAGGTCTCTGATTTCCTGCCCTTCCTGGTGTTGCCCTGGGAGCTCTGCATCATGTCAGTGATGGCTTTGATGAGCCTGGACATGGCTCCAGTCCTGGAGAGGAGCAGAACCTGAGGCCACAGACACTGTCAGAGTGGCAGGAAAATCCCCACGTCCCTTTCCAAAAAATCCCAAACATCCCTTCCAAAAAAAAATCACAAAAATCCCTTCCAAAAATCCCAAACATCCCTTCCAAAAATCCCAAACATTCCTTCCAAAAATCCCATAAATCCAAAACACCCCTTCCAAAAATCCAAACATCCCTTCCAAAAATCCCAAACATTCCTTCCAAAAATCCCACAAATCCAAAACATCCCTTCCAAAAATCCAAAAATCCCTTCCAAAAATCCCAAACTTCCCTTCCAAAAATCCCAAACATGCCTTCCAAAAATCCCAAACATCCCGCCTCAGCCTTCCTACATTTGATTTCACCAGAGGTAAAAAGAAACTTTCCTCTCCCGGCTTCTCTGAGGACTTTCCCCTCGATTCCCTTCATTTCTCCACTTTCCCTGGTTCAATTAAAGGGAAGCTGCTCCCTGTACCCATCCCGGCACTTGTGGGGTGAATGAATCAGCTCCTGCAGGTGAGGAAAGTGCGTCCAGCCTGGGAGCTGATCCCGTCCCGCCGCCGGGTAAAACCAGTTCCAAGGCACCCCCGCACACACAGGAGCTCATTTCAAACACAAAAGCTCCTTCCAAAGCCGAAAAGAAGCAGCAGAGACTCACCTGCATCCGCCGGGGCCGGGTCGGGAGTGGTGGGAGCACCGGGAGAGCTCCGGGCAGGCTGGGCGGTGGGAGGAGGAGAGGATTCCTTCCGGTCAGTCCTGTTCTCTGGCTGCCTCTTCCCGGGGAGCCTCCCTCATTATCCCGGGCTCCGAGGATGTTTACGGCACACCTGGAGAGGTGTATGTAGGTCAGGGACAAAGCAACTCCTTGGGTCCCCAAAAACGCCAGCCAGAGGTTCCCTTCTCACATAAAACTCTGCATTTAACGTCC